CTTCGAGTACAAAAAGTTATATAACGCAAAATAAAAATTTATCAAATTCATGTAGTGATATTGTGACGAAGGTCACTTAAAATCCGGATAATTCAAGCATAGCAATGATTGAAGGGAAATGATTATTAAATTAAATAGGAGCGCATACTCTCTCTCGCTCTTTTACTCGTGGTTCCTGGAAATGTATAAATAACACAGTCCGACAAAATTTCGACCCCGTTATGCTCAGACATGGAATTCATCTCATCAGAAAGATTTTTTCGCGCTGATTCCGAATCTGCCCTCTGATTTCCCGGAAATGCGATCGTTGCGGAGAAAAAAAATATTAAAGTTGTAAAAACCATGAAAATCCGGTGATTTCTAAATTCGATACAAAAATAACTCTAGCGCCAATTGCATTAAAAAAAATCTCAGAATAATGCGGAAATTTTGATCTTTCGAATAACAACTAGCTCTCCGAATTGAGAGCTTTAGATTATTCATAATAAATTCACGAAAAAGGCGATAAAAGCTACTTTTGACATTCGGAAATACATCATGGCGGAATAGCGTGAAGTTGCATCTCCATGTGGGCACCAGCCGCCGAACTTGAAAGGTTATTGAGGGTTGCTTCTCCATTTTGAACTGTGTGTATTGAATATAATACCTGTGGAATATCCATGTCACACCTAGGATGAATATGATGAGTCTGTGATGGTGATTTATACGTCCATTTGTGAGTAATATTTTTCAGTTTAATATAATTCAACATTTAGCATTTAAATATATTGCATTCATTCAATGTAGCGATTTCCGTTGGCTGGGAATGAATATATTGTCTGCGTGTCTCGGCTTGAAAATCTAATACTAAAAGGAGAATAAATCTGAGAGATAATAGTAGAAGAAAAAAGTAATGAAGACGGAAGGTGAAAGAAACAAGAAAGCCAGCCAGGAGCGATTAACTCCACCCTTTTCAACAGATGATAATTGTAATGCGTGATTCATGGACACACAGGAGAATGACTTTCGCTGTAGCTCAATAAATCTTTTGGACAAAATGCTCCTTATCATTTCATTCCTTGCCAGAGTGAACAATTACCGATGATATTTCTATTTCTCATTTACGGAAAACAGGTACATTGGTGCAATGGTTTTTTTCTTAAGAAATAAGATGGATGGACAAAAATCTTTCAGTAATTTCTCTATCTTTGTTACAGCTTTAGATTGCTCACGCAACTTCAACTGTTAGTTGTTCAAGTTTATCTTGAATCACCCCTTTGTCTTACCATTTTTATTAGAATTTTTCATAATGAACAAAAACTATGCATTCCAATATGCAATTTCGAGCTTCATTTCATATAAGTTCCTATATTTCATTTCTCAAACAAAAACTTAAATTGGATATTTCCAACGGTCCTTGGAGTTTTCTTTGATTAAGGGTGGGAGATTAATGACACGCCATTGCAAAAATTTTTTTTGTTATGTTTGCGCAAAGTTTGCCACTGAGTCGTAGAGGAGAAACATCACAGAACTTGTGAAGTAAGGGTATGAGAAATGCTTCGATTATTCAATGACCAATTTGGAGAAATCCTGCACTCCAGATCAATGCTGTTCGTATTGCTATCCCTGCGTCATTGGATCATTCAAACAAGGTAAAACACCACCCTTCAGTACACCAGCAGTTTGGCGAGAGCCGCGAGATCACATTAGTGACTGTTATTTCTGCGTAAATGACATCGAATCGTACACGAAGAAAAACAGGGATAAAATCAAATACATCGAGCTACCATCTGTGGATTTACCGAAAGTCGTTCTTAGCAGTGAGGTGATCCCTGTCCAAGAGCCTGTAGTAGCTGATGTGGAGCAGGAAATATAACAGCCACTGAGGAATGAAGTTAATGAAGCATAGGAACCTCCATCGGAGACATCAAGCTCTGATGAACCCATTTGCTTCAATCAACATTAATTAGACGACCTGGTCAAGGACTTGAAACTCAGCAAAGAGGCCGCTGAACTATTAGCTTCACGATTGAAAGAGAAGAGCATGCTAACTTCAGAAGTTCGTATCACAAGCTATCGGCAACGTCAGTTTTTCCTGCTTTAATTCTTTAAAGAGGAACCTCTCGAGGATTCCACTGTTTGCTGTTGTTTCGACACCAATGGATTGATGAAGGCTATGAGGATAGAGCATGATCCAAAGGAATGGCGATTGTTCATCGACTCTTCAAGTACCAGTTTGGAAGCAGTCTTGCTACACATTGGGAACATCTATTCGTCGTTACCCATCGCCTACTCTACATGCCGCAAAGAAACTCACGATAAAAATGATATCTTGTTTGAGAAGTCTGGATACAAGTTATACGAGTGGCGCATATCGGCTGATTTGAAAATGGTAGATATTATCATGGGAATGCAGCTTGGTTGGACCAAGTACTGTTGTTTCCTATCTCATTGGGACAGCCGCGCACATTAAGTTGGGGCTCATTAAAAATTTCGGGAAAGCCTCGGACAAAAATGAACAAGCTTTCAGTTATTTAAAAACATTTTTCCCTGAACTGTGTGATGCTAAAATAAAAACAGGAATTTTCATTGTCCTCAGTTGAAGAAACGGATAGACAATGACGGCGGATTCAAGAAGGTATTGAATGATGTCGAGTTGAAGTCATGGGAGTCACTCAAAGCTGTGTGCAAGAATTTCCTGGGTAGTTCTGGTTCGGAGAACTTTAGAGAGCTCGTTGCAACCATGCTGGGATATTTCGCCGCGATGGGATGTAATATGTCCTTAAAATTGCATTTCCTTTTTTCTCATCTTGAATTCTTTCCTGAGAGTTTACTCGATGTAAGTGATGAACACGGTGAAAGGTTTCATCAGGATATTTCTACTCTGGAAAAGCGCTACAACGGGAAATCGGTGATGAAAATGCTGTCAGATTACTGCTGGGGTTTATTTGATACAAGTGATGCAACTCACGAAAGGAAAGCTTCTCGACTCTCTTTTCAGACTGCAGAAACCAGAAAAAAGTCAAAATCTCAAAGTAGAAGAGTAAGAACAATATGTACAAATGTTAAGATTTGAGTTTTCCAATTAAAAGCGTTTAAGATGTTTATATGAAATCCTTTGTAGTTCATTGTATTTATGTTGTGAATATTCTCAAGATAACATGGTTTTAAATTCGTAAGACTTAGATCTTAATATCTTCCCGAATAAAACGTAAATTATTCAGAAAAAATTAATGGAAATATAGAAAAGAAATCCGCCAACTAAGGCTCATTGTCTTGCTCTGAGTCAATAATATGTACTTCGTCAACGTAAGGAGAATTTGGTGGGGGAGAATCAGAAGATGTGATTGAGCAAGTTCATTCTCCAGGATAAATTGGGCGTCAGGATTGACGCGTCTCTCTTGCAGTTGAGAATCTCGTCATGTTATGAACATGCAGAAGGTCAAATATCACCAAATGCACCGAAAGCAGGGATCCCCAAAAAAGTAATATTTCGATAACTGACTCTGATTAAATTCTGCATAATTAATCAACCATATGCAAAACCGGCTATTCAATAAATTAATAATCGAATCTAGAAAAATGTCGATTACTTGAAAAATTAGTAATTACATGATCAACTTCTACGATTATTCCATTAGTGAGTATTCGATATCAAGAGCTTCCTAATTGATGGAGTATTCTATCTTTGCAATCGCATAATTTTCGATTACTTAAATAATCCAGTATGATGGTGAGAGACAAATTTAAATACCTATTTATTTCGCAATCAGGCTGAGAATAATTTCGATTACTCCGTCTAACTCAGCTTTCGTATTGAAAAATGAGTAATTACTCAATTAAATTGTCATCTTTTCCAGAATTCAGTCCAATAAATAATTAATTGATAATCAGAGGCAGAGAATTCTTGAATAATTCATCAATCCGCCATGAGGACAGGGAAATTATTTAGTATTCAGGAAAATTGTAATCGTGGCTAAAATTTTTCCTCACTACATGATTAATCCGTAATTAATACCGAATATCTTGATTGCATAATCAATCAGGATTTCCAATTATTTAATTTTTTTTTCAATTCTATCAATTATTCTCAACGACTATTTATTTTTATTGACGTGGATACGTCTATGTTTTCGTTTTGAGGGGCAGTTTGTGCAAAGGTTTTTATTCGCTAACGCTATCTGTCAGCATACAGCAGAACTAATCGAAATTCTAGAACATTCTCGATTTTTCTAGACTGTTTTAGCTTTTATAAAAAATTCAAGGAAATTTGGTAAGTTTCGCGAAATTTCGTGGGAATTCAAGAAATTTGTAGAAATTTCTCGCGAATTTAAGGATTTTCTAGAAATTTCAAGGGAATCAAGAAATTTTAGGGATTGACGTAAGCATCTTTTTTACAAGAGTAAATTTTTTTATGGCCAAATGCCATGAAACGTTGGCAAAACGATATTTGAACTATTATAAAATGATCGATCTATCGCTCAGCTCTTCGTCATATTGTCGATATCGATTTTTTTGTTTTTTTATATTTTAGTTGATATCGATAATATGACGAAGAGCTAAGCAATAGATCGATCATCTTATAATAGTTCAAATAACGTTTTGTCAAAGTTTTATGGCATTTGTCCATGAAAAAATTTACTCTTGTGAAAAACTTCCGCCAAAATTGCTTACGTCAATCCTTAATCCGTATCGTTCTTCTAATTTCCCGAGCATCTACGTAACATAGAGGTATCCACACAAAACTCACGGCTGTATTAGGGATAGAGCCGATCAGGGTTTTCTTCGTTTCTAATGGAATTCGCTGAAACTAAAATACCCAAGCTAAGCAAAACAGGTCCTCTTGAATTCAATGAAAGTAGTTTCTAGAACCTTCGAGAGAATTGAGAGAGTTTTTATAAATTTCAAGGTAATACGAGGAATTTCTAGGGAATTTGAAAGAATCCAATAAGTTATTAGAGAATTGAATGTAAAAACAAGAAAAATTTTCTATTAGGGAAAGATTAGGAGATTTCTCAAACAATTTGAGGAAATACATTTTATTTTCCACAGAAGTGAATACAAAAACAATGACATTTCCCTATTTGTAAATGGAGGCGATTAACTGAAAAGACGATTAACTGAAACGACTGCATCCTCTAAGTCTTCCGCCGACAGTCTGGGGAACTCAGGTAGAGGTCGCACATGATATTCATCTACGACTTTTAGATAACACCCTCCGACTGTAAATGAAAAAACATTGGATAGCGAAATTCTACTTCCTCTTTACATTCGTTCACATCAGTCGATGAAAAACATAATAGAATAAACGTACTTCCATTCGCCTCCAAGGTACCCCAAAGTCTCATACGACTACCTCTGGTTAGACCATCGGGTAGTCTGTCTGCACATGCATTGACGTACACCGTCAGTTTCCAGATACCGTCTGATACCGAGCCATTCAGGTAAGAGCTCCTCCCAATAGCGTGGATGACAAAAGCATCTTTAGTCCACGACTCAAGTACTGGAAAAAAAATTGAACTCATGAACGAATTCTCAAAACATTAACGGAGAAAAAAATCAATAAAAATTACGTGTGAGTTGCGTAATTTCGATGTAACCTAATCATTTCGTCAATTTTTACGGAAATTCAGGGGAAAAAATACAGGGAGTTCATTGAAAAAATACGGAATGTATCGTAATAATCACGGAAAACTTCCGTGGAAATTGACGGAATGATGCCGTGGAGTTTTTCGTGATTTTTACGAAAGGTTCCGCCATTTTTCGATGAACGCCCTGCAATTTTTCCCTGAAATTTCCGTAAAAATGGACGAAATAGCAAGGTCACATCCGGATCAAGCGTAATTTTGATCATTTTTTTTTCTCCGTGCACCCCATCATCCAAACAGTCTTAGCCAGAATAAAATTCTTACCAAAAGGTCCCTTGACGCTTGGCAGGCTACTTAGTGTCTCTTCTGAATAAACTATGGAGTCACGAATTTGGGGATTTTAGGTCCCCTGGGAATGGATTTCTGAAAATGATTCAAGGTGGAACGCGAGTGTTGACTCGCCACCACCATTTGTAATGGGAGTCACTTTGATTGAACCTCGTGTAATCGTTACATTCTGGAAGAAAATCCAATTATTAAAACAGTTAAGGATTACAAAATGGAATATATTATCACGAAGATACCTTGTATAGCGTAATATGAGACTCCCACAACATTATCTGCTTTTCCCAAACGTACACCTCAATTTTCATCCCCTTTGTATCGTCAATTCGAAAGATAAGGGCTGTTTTTTTCTCGCTCCTAAACCATTTACGCCCTTGGATGTGATCGATATAGCCGGTTAGAGTACTGTAAAGAAAAATTGACCATGATTAGCTGTATAACCGATAGGTTTGAAGCTTAAATGAACAAAAAAAAGAAGAAATTTCATTCATAAAAATCTCCTCCATGAGTTACCATGAAAGAAAGACAGATAATAACAAATCGTTCGATAATTGATGGTTGTGAGAAATTTAAATTGCATTATGAAGAATCATTGGAATAAGCTACGTATTGGGTACTAGAAGAATGAGTTAATAAAATTCTCCCTTGGAAATGAAAAAAAATAAATTGCGAGATTATAGAATGAATACACTATAAAGAAAATCAGTAAAAAGTCTAGCAAATTCACTGGAAAATTCTATGGGAATTCTATAGGAATTGAATGGAATTCCTTTGAGATGTCTATTAGAATTCTATTTAAAAATTGTATTTGTGTTTGCACCGATTCTATTAGATATTTGAAATACAAAAGTCAATAGATTTGGAATTTTTTATATTGAAATTATTGTTCACAAATTTTCTAATCGTCTTTGGCTGTATTTTGATTAGTTTAATATTATGCAGAGATTATTCGACCGTAAATTTTTAAATGAAGAGAAGTTTTTTTTCCTCATGACCACAAGGGCGAAAAAAAACCTTCCCTTCAATTTGTTTAGTTTTGCATTATGGAATCCGAGTGGAAGAAAAGCTGAGAAAAGCGGTGCTCAATAATTTGAATGGAAAAAATCTCAAGAGAGAAACTCGAACAGAAATTCAAAATTTATTGACTTTTTTCTTGCTGATATCCAATAGAATCGGTGCAACGGAAAGAATAAGATTTTTTAGTAAAATTCCAATAGAAATCATGTAGAATGCCTGTAGAATGTCAATATGATTTTCTAGCAAATTCGCTACGTTTCTTTTGTTTTTTGTTCTCATACTAATGATTTTACACTCAAAATAAGGGATGCTACAAAGTGAAGAAAAAAAATGGCGGAAGGTGAGTATTCAAATTCATGGCAGAGAAGATGAAAAATTGGAAATAAATCACTTAATTTCATAGAAAAAAAATTGAAAAATAAAAAGCACTTACACGTTTGTATCACCAGCACTTAAACACTCGAATACAATATTTTTTTAATAATTAATCATCGTTCTTTCTGTAACCACTAATGATCGCACTCAAAAATCCAGCGAACCGACTTGTCGTGAATTGTCTGTTCTTGTTTCGACGTGACTACCTTCTCACGATGTCTCAATGCCTGGATATAGGTGAGACTGGTGGGGGATTATATTATAGTCGATCAAAAACAAACGATGAGGACATTCTTAAATTCCGCGAAAAAGAAAATCGATTGACTGGCAAATGCCAGAGGAATTCTGAACTCGTGCCCATCCGGACATCCGTGGTGTAACATTTCAGTGAAGTGAAGTGCCACAGTGCCCTCGCAAGTGCCCTCGTGAATAGCTATCGGTGTTAATCAGGTGAGTACTATCATTATACCATTTTGATATTTATCCAGGATTTCGTGGTCATTAAGTGGGCACATGATATTCTCATGATTTTTGTTTACGAATGAATGCATTGGAATCGTCCAAGTTCTAGTTATGAATTTTTTGTATTTCTAGAACAATTGAGACAATGACGGGAAATCCACGTAACCCAGAAGAAAACGGCCATATAATTGCACTTTTGAATCTGCATAATGCCGATGGAGCGGGAAATCTCGAAGCGGAATGTAACAGATGTCCGTACTTGGATGGGACATGGTTCATACCTAATATTGATAAATCATCAATCAACGGCACCATCTTTGCCGCGTGCAGATGTCAGGATGGACACAGAGAGACAGTGATTGTTGGTACATTAAAATTTGCATCTAACTACACGAGACACTTGCAGGTGAGATGAATTGACGCTATTTTCTGTTGAAATGTTCAATAGAAAATATTTCACAAAGAAAATCGATAGTATTTTATTTTTCTATTGGAATTCTTCGGCTTGAATTCTGAAAGTTTCTTTGAGCGATTTTTAAATTGATAAGAAAAGAAGAACATCAAAAAACAACTCAGAAAATTCGAGCCGAGGGGATTCAATTGACTTTTTCTATATAATGTTCTCAATTGAATATTTCAATACAAAACGACAAAAACTTATTGAAAGTTCAAAAGAAATCCAATAGAATTTTCTAGTGAATTCGCCAAGTATCTCATTTGAATTTTTCGTGCGTGAAATATTCTTCGTAGAGCACAGTAAGATTTATAAAAATACTTGAATGAAAATTTTTTCATCTACAGTGAATTCGGAGATATTCTTCAACGAACTCTCATGGGAGCATTGTTTTGGCACTCTCACTCTGCTCTACAAAAAGTATCAATACAGAAATTATCATTCAGATTCCAAGTTATTTTTGAAAAATTTACATGTTTGAAAGACTAAATTTCATTTTTCCCTGCATTTGACTCCTGAATTCATGAGAGCACTGAAATTTGAGAAATATTTCGGTTAAGAAATTTGCAATAGAATTTTACGATAGAACAAAAGGAAACAAAAGGTTAAGGAACAATTGCGAATGGCCATCTGAAACTTTCTTCCTCAGGCTTGAGTTTTCGAATGAGAACAAAAATATTGTGAAAAGAAGATGAAAAATTTCTGCTAAAAAATCCCTGTTTTTTAATTAAATGAATTTCACAACATGCTCTGTAATTTTTGTTTTTTCTTCTGTGGAGGATTTGTTGACCGATTTTTTTAACAGAACCAACGACAGAATTCTCAATAGGAACTCAATAAGAATCCGATCAAATTTCCCAGCTAATGCAGCAGCTTTTTGTAGGAATTTGTCTTGTATACAGCCTAATTCGATGAATGTCTATTGCATTTTTTCAGATATACCATCCCAGTCAGTTACAAGAGTATTATGCTTACGTTGAAGAAAGGAGGGGATAAGGCCAATAAATCAATCAATGCACTGATGCACTATTATTATTATTATTATTATTTATTGAGAAAGTCAGTAAGCTGATACATCTCTACCAAATAAAGTACAAGTTGTGTCGCTGTGCGTGCGTAAATCAATCCTCTTATTATATATTTGATTTATGAGTTATAACGAGTTAACAGATTTCTTCTAGCAGTCTTCAAAGGGGGAATATTAGTATTAAACTAAGGGGGGATATTAGTATTAAAACTCTGAGAAAATTCGTAATAAAAGGAGAAAAAGAACCCCAAGGAGGAATGTCATAAATGCACGTTGAAAAACAAACAAACTCTATAATTTTCAAATTCGTTAAATGAGTCACACAACTCACTTACCTCAATTGAGGCGACTTTTCTTTTATCAAACTGGGAATCATGAAATACCATTGATCCAAGCGATTCTCATCAATTATTCACAAATGATTTTTTTCTAATTTGGACTGTATCAATGCGATACCATTCGTAATAATTCATGAACCGTTGTATTCATCATTTCGAGCTATTCAATTCGATTCTTTCTTCTAGAAGATGCACCTGCAAGAGGAATAACTGTTGAGAAAGAAAGAAACTTCGAGGAAATTTACAAAATGTCGTGCAAAAGCGACGATTCTCAGGCAAGCAAAGGTATCCACCAGTCCGATGAAAAAGCCAATGAAACTATCGAAGGACCTCGTCTAGTGGAGGAGTGTAATAAACGGCTTCACTTATATGGGCGGTGGTTTGTGCCCGATATTAAAAAACCTTCAATTGCGGGCTCAATCGTTGCTGCATGTCAGCCATGTAAAAATGATCACAATCACGAGACAGTAATAAAAGGGAAATTAGATTCTTCATCCAATTACAGAATACATTTGAAGGTGAGATTATTTGAATGAGTCAAAAATCAATGGAATCCGTTTATTATATACAACTTATTCTAATGACGCATTTTCTGCAAATCTTCCTGTCCCAAAGTTTTCTAGTTTCTTTTCTTTATTATTTTTTCCTCATTTCTCTATCCTCCTCATCCAGAAAATCAAATAGAATCGGTGAAAAACTAAACGAGAGTCGAGGATAATTATGTTGCGTATTTGCTACGTTTTCTTATGAATTTTTTTCAAACGCTCAAGCTCTATAGAATCTTCAATCGAACGAAAGAAAAAGTTCTTTAGAACTTCCATCGATAGAATGTTCAAATCTATTAATGAGTCATATTATATATTCTCTATCAAATATTTGTTATCACGAAAAGCACACGATGGAAAGCCCTGGAATTCTCTGACAAAATCGACGGAAAATTGCTTGGATTAAAATATAATTTTCTCGAGTCATCGTTAGGTTCTTTGATGGAATTTTTGAACGTGACTCAATCCGATGTAATCACAACAAATATTTTCAGAGGAGGCATCCAGAGCGTGTAGGGGAGTTCCAATCTTATGTTGAGATGAAGAAAAGCCGAGTCGAAGATCCCAAGGATTGTGGGCAATACAAAGTCCGGTGCGATTTTTCTCAAAAACAATTTGAGAGCAACGTGTCGAACTTTTGTCTGGATACATTCGCACCCTTCACCATAGTTGAGGAGCCCGCCTTCCGGAAAATTTTTGACGGTAATCTTGATGGACTCAATGCCAAAATTTTTATCCCGAGTTTTCATTGCATCCATTCCAATCATTGGCAACAAAAGAGCAAACTCTAAAAGGAATCATGATCGATGGTATTGTGCGACGAAAATAATACAATTCCATACACTGTTAAAAATTTTTGTCTGAAATTTCCAATCTATTTCCCGAAAATATTTGTCAAATCTAAGATCCACTGCATTTCCTCTTTGGAAATTCAAAACTTCGGGGAAAAATCAATAAGTACTATTGATTTCTGTTCCATCCTTACCTGAAAATCAATTGAAAACCAGAAAATTCTATTAGATATATGCTCGAATTCCCAGAACGGTGACACTAAATTTGATTTAACGTGAAAAAAGTCATGAAAGTTTAGATTTCGCTGATTATTTCCCCCATCACCCATCCGAATAATAGAATTGCGGAATTCGATGCTTCATGGACCAATCAGAACAGAATTATATCGATAATTCCCTGTCGTTTGGTAATTTTCTCATTGCCAAGCGGGATAACAACAAATTGTCTATTGAACCACGATGACACCGAATACCACAATTCTATTCATCGAAATGGTTATGGGGAAAATAATCCACTAAATACCCCTCGTGCTTCAAAATTATCAAGTATTTCCCTCCAGCTTCCCTGCAAACAAACGATCGTATCAAGTTTTGCAGAATTTTTTTTAAATCTACAAAACTTCAAGCTCTCATTTGTTTACAACGAAATTATTGGGAAATACTTGGGGTGTTATAACCGAAAATTCATGGTACATCGGCGCTGAATTTTCATATTTTACCAAAAATTTAAATTTTCCATTGAACATTCGAATGGATTGAAGCATTCTGATCTTCAGGGTGCCTAAAATTTTCCAATTTTCCAGAATTTTCAGTGAAATCTAAAATTTCATGATTTATTTCCCCTCAAATCAAATTCAGTCTCTGGCCAGAAAATTACTAATCAACTCTTCATCAAATTTCATTGTTTTTTCTAACAGTGTACTCTCGTTCACAAAAGACTAGTTGTTTCACCAAACAATTTCCAGAATGCTACAGTGATAAATGATACATGGAAAATTGTAATTATATGGACTTTTTATATTTCTAATTTTCCATGATCAATTGATCCAACACAAATTGTTTTTTGATACACTAATAACAAACTTCTTCCTAATCTCTGTGAATTCTTTCTGCCTATTTTGAATGCAATCCAATCTTATCAAAGTTTCAAGAAATATTGTCAATATTTTTAAAATGAAAGAAGATTCGCTCAATTTGAGAGAAACTCCTTTAATCAGATGGAATAGCGCAACCTGTTGTTGAATACTTGTTTTAGATATGAATATTCGCATGTACGGAAAAAGGCTGCAGCACTTCTCTGTTAGTACATTGAATCGTTAAACGACTGACATGTTCAAGCTAAATATTGCCAAAATAAAAGAGGAAGTTCAAAATGCTAAATACGTTTGCACTAGTGCAGACATTTGGACCAGTAAGAGTCGTCGATTCATGGGTGTGACGTTACACTGGGTAATTATCAATCAATATATATTACCAAAAAAAAGCGATCCGAGAAATCCTAGGAAATTCTATTCGAAAGCTATCAAACATATCGTCTTGGTTATCCGTACGATTCCTATTGAAAACTCATTTTTTCCCGCATTATTTCTATTGACATGTGAGAAAGAAATAAAAATAGCACATGTGTCCTATTTTTTCAGAGTAAATTTATTCTATAGGGAACTTTTGACATTTTTTTGGCTCTGCTCAAGAAATTTGAAAAACTCATAGGATGCAATGAAGCTCGAACGGTTTGGATTTCATCTTGAATTTGGATTTTTTCCTTGTGTTCTCCATATACTAAATGGACCAATACTGGAGATTCATTTGTCATATTTCCCGTTTCAGATTGATTCTCGTACGTTGAAGAGAGTTTTATATGCAATTGCTTGTAGAAGATTTACTGATACTCACTCCCACGATCGCATTGCTGATCTCTTGAATGATATTCATTCCGAGTTCGGAATCGAATCCTCGCGATTGATAGCCACA